ACTCTAATAGCCAGGCATCATGATAGTCAAAGGAGACACTGGGATAAGCCAGGCCTGGTTCCAGACTCCAGAGGGGCTTCCAGGCTGGTACACTAGACAGTCAAAAGCAGAATTCCAGCAAAATGTCTTAAGTGCCAAAATGGCTTAACCCATGACTGTGTACAATAGGGCCTAGAGGAACAGGTAGCTAATTCAACTTGGAAAGCCTTTGGGAGGAGGACCTATCTGAACAAAATCTTCAAGAAAAAGTAGATGGCAAAATTCTAGTAAAATGTTTGGAATCTTTAAGTTAAAAAAGATTTCACACAAAATATTAGCAAATAAAATTATTTCTGAATGACCTAGCTGATAGCAGCAGCAGCTGCAGCAGCAATAGAATAAGGAGCTAGAAAATTAAAAGAATTCGTTCAGGTCAGTTAAAGCATGACAATCATTTTCTTCAATGTAGAGTGAGTTGGTTGTTACTTAGTGGTTTTTGTTTTTGTTTGTTTGTTTTGGGGGGGGGGTTGTAGTTGTATACAATATCTTTAATTAATTTATTTATTTTTATGGGATGCTGAGGATCGAACCCAGGGCCTCACCTGTGCTAGGTGAGCACTCTACCGCTGAGCCACAACCCTAACCCCTTATTGCCCAATGTTTTATATTGACCTATTCAATTGACAAGAATAATCCAGAGAATTAAAGAAGAAAAAAGCCACTTGCAAACAGATGCTGAAGAATACATCTTGGAGAATATGAGAAAGGGAAAAAATATACAAAAGAAACTAGCTTCTAAATGGAAAAATATGAAGTAGCTAAATTAAATGCTTCCTATGACACTGCCAATAAACTGGATTCTCTTTCAGGGCAGGGGATGTTTCTTATCCTCTTCATGGCCCCCAGCTCCTAATGCACTAGTTGGCAATAAATGTTTGATTAATTAACACGTAAACAAAGAGTTGAACGACTGCCTTTTTAAAAAATGGAGAGTAATAAATCATCTTTGAAATGAACATAACAATAAATGTCAAAGTTTCTGAGTGCTTAGTATATGCTAAATGTTGCACTAACACTACATAGAGAGTATCACAATTTTGTCATCTGAAGTTAGTCCATTTATTCCACTTTGCATATCTGTTCACTGATTTGACAAATATTCATTGGGCACTAATACTCTCCAGGCAGTGTTCTGGAAGCTGTGGAGTAGTGAACAAGAAACACTAAGCACTTGCTTTCATGGAGGTTGTGTTCTGATAAGGGAGACAAATAGTAAATACAGTCAACCCTTTGTATCTGCAAGGGATTGGTACCATGGATACCAGAATTTACGGATGCTCAAGTTCTTTATTTACATATAGCTACATACATCTCCCATATGCTCTGTCATCTCTAGATTACTTATAATATCCACAACAATATAAATGGTTGTTATACTGTATTATTCAGGGAATAATGACAAAGACAACATACCATTTTTCTCAAGTACTTTTCACTGTGGTTGTTTGAATCCATATATGAGGAACCCATAAATGTGGAGGGCCAACTGTAATAGAGTATAATATTATAATATGATATAAAGTTACATAGTATAACATACTATCAATACTGTAAACTCTGATATTGTTTCATGATATTGCGTTCCTCAGGAAACAGAAGTATCCTCATGAAATGGAAATTTGGACATAGACTGGCATACCCACAGACAAAAGACTTATGTGAAGACAAAGGGTGAGGGTAACCAGCTACAAGCCAGGAAGAAAATCCTCAGCAGAAACAACCCTGCTAACACATTGAGCTTACACTTTTAGACTCCAGAACTGTGAGGAAATAAATGTCTTTGGTTTGAACTACCTTGTGTGGGCTACTTGTCATAGCAGCCCTAGCAAACTAATACAGCTATCACAGCTGAGGGTAACTAGCAAAGGCATCACGTACATGACATAAACATAAACTTGGGGTGAGGACCATCACTAACAACAGAGGATGCACATTGGTATTTTAAGTAATTTTCCTGGTAAAGGCAGGGGGTGGGGGGAGTTACTTTCTTAATAGAGCTGACTCGATCATTGGTTTTTCCCTTGTCATGTGACTAAACAAGGCCAAGGGCCACTCCTGCCATCGTATTGTTGTTCACTCATGCTTACGTTATTAGGCTTTTTTTTAATCTCAAGTTTCTCCGCCAGGGTCATTTCTCAAGGTACTTGTCTAGTTAGTGAGCATTCATTCAGTTAAAACAAGATAATATAATCTGCAAATCCACTTACTAGGCTCTAGTTCAAAAGTCTGAAGCAAACAAAAGAGTGGAAATAATGCCCCCCTCCCCACCTCCACTTTGTGAAACTCCATTCTCCTCTCAGGGAAATTTCCACACTGTTCAAAATACAAAGCAATCTGACACACAGACCAAGAAAGGGTGCTGAGCAGTGCCGGCCCCAATCCTTTCTATAGGTCCTGGTAAGATTAATTCCCTTCATACATTATTAGGCAAAAATAAATAATAGTTCTAGTGTTTTCTTTCCAGACCCCAGCTGATCGTCTGTAACTAAGTTCTGGGATGCAAGAACCCCTAGCTTGGAAACCAGTCTACTTGAATAAACAAAGAGAACAGCTGTTTTTTGAATTACTTCTTAGACAAAAGCCATCTCTGCCCTTGTTCTATTATGTGTAGAATTATCAAGGCCCTGTGTGACCTGCCACTCGCTGAAATGCTTCTTAAACATTAAATGCCAGCCCTCACACTCCTTATCCAAGGGCATTCTGCGGTCGTACTACCTAGAACTGCCCTGCAGCATGCCCTTCTCTAGCAGGGACAAAATTGTGAAATCACTCAGCATTCCCTAAAGGAAATCGAGGGTCCAGTGTGATTCTTTGGTATTTGAATCTCTGAGTTCAACCCAGAGCATGTACGGTTTAGAAGCAATGTAATTGAATTTCCTTTCACCAGTCTGTCTGTGCTGTTGTCTGTCACTCATCAAAGCCAATGTCTTTGTGAAGGGTTTGGGGAACCACATCTTAATGTCATTGAGCAGATAACATATTAACTGCTAATTGACACAGGAAAATGCTCCAGGATCGTGTTCTTGTCTTTGTTAAGGGATGTTAAGTGAATTATTATCTGCCAGGGTCATTTTTCTTGCAGTTTTCAGTGAGGTTATAATCTGAATTCCCATGGCCCCTCATGTGTTGGTAAAGGTCATGTTTTCTCTGATTTGTGGTAAAATTGGTTTTATTATTAAATTATAATAATATCCAGTGATTTTTAAACTGATTTTCCCTTGGGGTGATGGTATTTTTATCTTAATAATACCAACAAGACTTCCCTTGGGGGTATTTTTTTGGGGGGGGAAGTCTTAGAATTTTTAAAAAGTATCATAATTTTTTTTAAAAAAAGTTTAAATGCTTAGTTCTAAACTACTTATATTTGTTAAAATAGTCTTTCAGTTTTTTTCATATATGATAACATTATATACATTCATATATAATGTTAAAGATTATGTGTGCATTATCTTGTTTTCAGGTTTTTTTCACTTATAAATATGTTAGGTAAATATCGGTCCATTCAACTAAATGAACTTAGGTGTCTTTTAGTTCACCATCTTTAAGATAGGGTGAATAATGTCTACCTGTCATGATTATTTCGTGGATTAAATTATGTTAACATAGAAGGAATCGCCAAACAAAACAAGGGAAATGTGGTTAAATCTGAGTTTAACGTGAACATATTGATGGAGTCCACACAATTGTAATTTTCAATAATAAACCCCTCCATGTTATTTTAAGAGTTTTCTTAATTTATTATTAAACATTGTTAGTATATTCATAAATTGCATCCCATATGCTTCTGAAAAAAATAAGCAACTAAAATTTTCCACATCTCTTATTAATCTATTGATAAATACAGGAAGAAAAATAGATGTATACAATGTCTTACCTTTTGAAATTACTGTATTAATAGATATTATCCACACGTTATAGATGAGAAAAAAAATTGAACTTCACAAAGGTAAAAACTTGCTCTTTAGGTTATATTTAAGTCTTCACATTCCAAATATAACACTCTACTATAGCAGACTCTGAACACATTACTCACCAAAAATAATTTGAGGTTTTTCTCATTGTTATTTATTTTGGAGATTCTAATAGGTTTGCAAAGATGCCATAATTTCTTTTAATGCGCATTTTGTTATTTGCAAGGTAGCCTCTGATATTTACCATATGTGAGCTATTGAGTTTTCTATTATATGAACTGTCTATTTACACCTTTGAATAGACAGAAAGTATCTCTCACCACATCATCTTTGCCTGCTCCTTTGCCCTTATAACAAACAAAAATCCTTTTTCATTCCTTGTCATGCTATAATCCCCCAATTAAATAAACTTGCTGGAAAAGACCTTTTCCGTAAAGCCAAGGTATGCAACCAAACTCATGAGAACTCACACCACTATTAATCTTTACTGTACTCTGAATTCCACAGATCAGCAATCCTGAGTTTCAGCTCCTTAGAAAGCAGGATGCTTCTATCTAATACAGACTCTGCTAAAGTCCACCATGTTAGTCCCATTTCTAAACATTTTGGCACTGCTCTGGGTACCCAAACAGGTTTCCCACGTGTCTTTCAGAAAGGGGATTTCCTAAAACCGCAGCTGACCTCCACCACCCCAGACTGCCTCCACTTCCAGGGTCTGTCTAGAGCCCATCTGGCCTTTGAGATTGGAGGAGGGAGGAGGGTGGTGTGTTCCCTGGGGCATTCATTCCATACTCTGTCTCAGGGAGGGACTTTTCATTGTTTGCTCCCAACCTCTAAGCCCTGCCAAATTCAGCATTAAAGCAGTTAGGCACAGTGATGTTTCCGAAGGGAAAGAAGAAACAACCCTATCAAGAAAATCTTTTTTTAAACTTCTGACCTTATTAAATATTGAAGAGAACAAAAACTGTTGACAGTTTTAAGCATGTTGAGTACAATAATTAATTCTGGAGCTAAGTCTTGGCTGTCTAACTTAAATGATTTGGTCATTACCTTTTGGAAAGGCCAATATGAACAACAGGGTTTTCAGTAATTCACTGAAGCCTGGAAGGAAACAAAAAATTATTTTAGCAATAGACACTAGCCTTGTAGACCAAGACATTCCTGCCTATAATTGTACCTTTCTAGCAAAATACTAATAGCAGTGATAAACTATTTCTTAATTAATATTGATTTACTTAATCTCTTATCATATACTGACATATATATATATGTGTGTGTGTGTGTGTGTGTGTGTGTGTGTGTGTGTGTGTGTGTGTGTGTATACACATACACACATTCTTATCTGGTTGCAATAGGAAGTTGTCATAAAAAATATTGTAAATTCCTCCAATTTTTCCATTTTTTTTTTTTTTGTACCAAGCATTGAATCCAGGGTCATTTAACCTACTGAGCCACATTCCCAGCCCTTATTTATTTTTTATTCAGAGACAGAGTCTCTCTAAGCTGCTTAGGGCCTTGCAAACTTGCTGAGGACAGCTTTGAACTTGCGATCCTCTTGCCTCAGCCTCCCAAGTCTCTGTGATTACAGACATGTGCCACTGCACCTAGCTTCTCCATTTAAAAAAAACAAACAAAAAAAACAAACACTGGGGCTTTAGCTCAGTGACAGAACACTCACCTAACATGTGTGAGGCACTGGGTTCAATCCTTAGCCCTGCATAAAAATAAACAAATAAAGTAAAGGCATGCTGTCCATCTACAACTACAAAAAAAAATTTTTTTAAATAAGTTTCAGCATCAAGTTAAGATCGTTTGCCTGCAGTCACAAACTAACAACCAATGAGGCAGATACAAAATCAGAAATCGATTAATTATATTGCTCCTATGTGTGAAGTCTTGTTCTAAGTAAAGGAGAAGTGTTAGATATATGTATAAATATGTATCCTTACATCCATAAAAGCTCCATCTTAGGAACGATGATTTCTTGTATGTGGTTTTCTTAATGCTTTACTTGTTTTTGCTGCTCTCATTAGGAGTTCTTTTTAAAACGTTTTGTTTCTCCAGGTCTATTAACAATACTTTGAAATACTAATGGCATCTAACGAAAGCACTCATATTAGTTAGATAAACAATTTGATTCGAAAATCTAAGAGTACAGTCATAATAGACTAATACGATGGTTACATGAGGGTTTTAGGTGGTTAATGAACACGAAGCAAAATATATCCATCCTTGCTAATTGAATTAAGCATGAACGATGAAGTATAAAAATTCCAGGAATCATTTTTCCCTTTCAATTTTCATAGTTCTATTTTTAACATTTTCCCTACTTCGCTTTAAATGCAGTCTTTTCAGCTGTGTTTTGCTGCTTTTTTTCTTTCCTATAGGAAAACTTACAGAAAATACAAAGCCATCTGAGATTTCCACCTTAGAAATTATAGCAATTTTGCTCCATCCTCTAGCATTCAAATTTTGTTCCTTCCTGTTTAAGTTGGATGACTTTTCACTTAGAAGAACTGAACGTAATCCTCTGAGTTCTTCCGCTCACATTCTCCACCATGTGTGGTCAATTAAATCCCAGCAGTATGGACAAGTTTTCATTTAAACGACTTCACTTCCTGGGAAACAGCAGGGTTTACATCTAGTTTCTAAACATTGTTGGAGCTTGATGGGTACAGTTTCGCCTCAATAGCCTCAGCATAGAGCACACCGAGTTAGGCATGACCCCACCTCTATCTAATTTGGCAGCGAATCACTCTTTTAAGGAACCGTACTGTTTTCATTAAAGATTTCGTTCCTCCTCATCATAGGATTGTCTTTATTTTCAGTAAATGCTTTCATGCAAATGTGCACCTGGATTTTAAAGTGAATGCCACATTCAGAAGAGCCTATACAAAATTTCCTTTAGCAAAATAAAATTGGAACGCAAAACAGATGCCTGGAAGACAATCATGAAAAAAGAAACAAAACTCAAAGGATGACAAGATATTTTGAACCTATTTTTGGAGATGTTGTTAATGGTGGTGGTGGTGATGTAATCAATTTTTTAAATGATTAAATAATTCAATATTTTGTGGTTCTTTTTGAAAATGTTCCTTAAGCTTGATTAAGTATTTTCTTTTGGTTTTTTTTTTTTTTTAAAGAGAGAGTGGGAGAGGGGGGAGAGAGAGAGAGAGAATTTTTAATATTTATTTTTTAGTTCTCGGCAGACACAACATCTTTGTTGGTATGTGGTGCTGAGGACCGAACTCGGGCCGCACGCATGCCAGGTGAGCGCGCTACCGCTTGAGCCACATCCCCTTTTGGTTTTGAGATACCTATTTAAGTGTGCCTGAGATAAGCTAATTGCTGTTAGGTTACACATACAGAAAAAAAAAGTATGTAACTTATGTTGGAGAAGAATAAAAAATATTTTGTGATAAAACTTCATTAACATGGATTTTCCTCTTTGACTATAAGTAGCAGTGCTGATGAAGTTAAATATAAATCAGGTACAGAGAACATCTTTCCCCATTTAAAAATACAAAATGTGTGTTCTAGACTTTGGTGTATTTATTTTTTACACTAATGTATATTTAATTTTGTTAATTTTTACTTTTACTTTTATAAAGGCTCGTTACAATCGAGCTTGTGAATGACAGCTTCTGCAACCCCACATTGAGTAAATGTTTTTTTTTATATATGTATATATGTGCACTTTCAAGCACAGGTATTTTTCTATTAGAACCACAAAATCCTAATAAGCCTTCATCCTAAAGAATTTCAATTAAGGAGGGTCTACTGTACTTGGTTTAAAATGGCAAGGGATCAAAGAACAATAAAGCCAAAAAGGGAGAAAAAAAATTACCTTGATACATAATTCAAAAAAAAAGCCAAATAATTGAACTCAAATATGATTGCACATACTTCCAACATTTAGGTTAAAAACGATTCTGTAACAAATGTCATTTTGGACCGATTTTCCCAAGTGGTGGCAGAGGCTATGATGTCTTTATTCCATCCTGCAGTGACCAATGCACAAAGGAAAAGGTCTTCAAAACAAATGATCTCAAAAAGGTCTTTCCAGAATAAACGCTTGCAAGGAGCTAAAAGGATCAGGCTTCTTGAAAGCTCTATGCTTGCTGTGGTCCAGTAACTTTGGTCTTCCATCTGTTCTTCAAAGGGCCCCAACTCTCCCCCGCCTGGGCCCATAAAGTCTCTTCTCTGTTCCTGTGATGCTCCTGTCTCCTCTGTTCAACTGAATGCTTTTCTTTCTTCAAGATACACATTACCTTGTCCAAAGGTCTTCCCACACCAGAAATCCAAAGTAGATCTCCTTTTAGTTTCCCTATAACACTTTGTATTTGTAGCACTTGCCATAGTGAATATTGGCTGTGTATTTTCTACATAGGCGTATGTAATGATATATGCCTATAAATAAGAAGAATAAATATAATTATATATGTAGTTATGTAGTTCAATTAGTCTCATAAATTTAGAGTGTGATTGTTGAAAGAGAACAGAGGGGTCATTTGATTCAATCCTCATTTCTATAAACACATATTGCCTCATCTGTACAAAGAAAAGATTAAACTAGATAAATCTTTACTGTCCCTTTTAGCTTTTAAACTCTTTCTGAGTAACAGAGGGATTGATTTCTTACATTATATAGAGAGAATATATATATTATAGAATCATTATAGTCTCTTGATACATAAGTGAGAATACCTGCAGTTGTTAAACAAATCACTATATTTCATGCCACAAAGGAAAAAAAAAAAAGAGGATGTCAAGCTGTCATATTCTTCAATTTTAAGATGTATCCTGATGTCACAGATACTAAAATATAGGAGGGAAATATGTGCTTAGAATCAATAGAACAATGCACATGGGTCTGTGTGCCCTCAGAAATGTTAACACATGAGGGAAAGATCCTATCTGTATTATTTCTTCTGCAGCACTAGCAACCAGTACATTGTCAAATCCCTTGTATTTATTTATTGAATAAATAAACGAGTGGATGGCAAGAGAGCCACAAAGATATTTGGTGTTTCAGTAACATATGTGAGAAGGTCTGATTCTCATTCACATATCCATATTTTTTGCACTTAGAGAAACAACCTTTACTGACTAGAATAAAAGAAAAGATCTCTGCAATTCTTTCATGAAACTTCCTCTTAAAACATACTGTCAATGTTAGCTTGTTGTGTAGTTCAATTAGTCTCATAAATTTAGAGTGTGATTGTTGAAAGAGAACAGAGGGGTCATTTGGTTCAACCCTACTTCCTATAAGCACATACTGCCTCATCTGTACAAAGAAAAGATTAAACCAGATAAATCTCTACTGTCCCTCTCAGCTTTTAAACTCTTTCTGGGTGGTATAGACGGATTGATTTCTTATAGGATGTGTCCATACATCTATTTCGTATTTCTACCTTATCTTTAAAAAGGAGGAAAAGATTGTTCATTCAGTCACTACTTAAGCCCACCTAGGCCTGTGGACCCATTTTTCATAAATTAGATACATTGTCTTAATTCTTGGATCAATTTTACCTGGGAAATAAACAGCCCCATCAGAATTCTCTATGAAAGTCAAAGAGAAGCAATGATTGGCATATAATTTTTGCAAATTAAATATACTTTTGGTATATTTTTCTAGCTCTCACTGAAATTATCATCAGCATTATCTAGCTTTTACTACCATGTAGGTATCAAATATATAACAGCCATAGTTACAGTGGAAGGTATGTGTTTTGTCCTTCCTCTTCAACGATCCATGGTGGTTTGCCTCTCCTTCCCCTTATTTTCTGTCTGTCATCTCTAACCTCAGCTGACCTGAGACAGTAAAGAAGCAATGTCTTGGGGCTGGGGCTGGGGCTGGGGCTCAGTGGCAGAGTGCTTGCCTAGCATGTGTGAGGCACTGGGTTTGATCCTCAGCACCACATATAAATAAATGAAATAAAGGTCCATTAACAACTAAAAAATATTAAAAAGAAGAAGAAAAAACAGCAGCAGCAGCAATGTCTTGCTAGCACAATGAAGAAAGCACTAAGAAGTTGCCTGGAAACAATTCCAGGTTACAGGACTAGTTCAACTTATGTTAATTTAGGCATAGAATTATTTTAAAGTTCCTTGGTATTCTTAGCTGAAAGGAAAGATGACAAGTACAGCGGTTCAAGTGCTATTGCTCTATTGCTTTTCTGCTAGGTGTGAGACAGCACTTAGCCCTGTGAAGTCAAAGCAAATAATGTTACAAAGTCATTTCCAGATTTACAGCCCAACCCAGAAGGTTGATGCTGAAAAGTCTCCAGAATTGGACCAAATTTTCAATTCAAATGAATAGAGCAACTACGCATCTCATGCCTCATAGATCTCCAAATTTAACTCAAAGCCTGTTCCCTTCTTCCATATGGCTCATGGAGTGGGAGTAGGGGGCAGAATTAGCAAGCAAAGCCAAGGAGACACAGTTGCTCCATATTCAATGGTGTCTGTCTCCCAACTAGCTTTAATTGAAGCTAGTGTTACTAAGCAGCAATTACACAGGTTACCAATAAGATTTAAGGATGCAGAAGGATTCAGTCTCTTAAGAATTTTTCTTCCTAAAACCATACACTAGAAGATATTATTTTTCTTCAAAATAAATATATTTGGTAGACAGATTTTTTTTTAAAAAGTTATTTTTCCAGAAGCTACCTAGTATTACCTCCCATTCTACCATTTATAGTATTTCTCTTCCA